GGGCAGTTAGGGGTGATTGGGCTGGCAGGAAGAAGCAGTTAGGGGCAATCATGCAGGCAGACAGGCAAGCAGTTAGGAGCCAGCAGTCCCGGATTGTGAGAGGGATGTCCGACTGCTGGTAAATCGGCAGTCAGACATATCCCGAGGGGTCCCAGATTGGAGAGGGTGCAGGCTGGGTGAGGGACACACCCCCAGTGCAACTTACCAAACGCTTATTAAAATTATTTCTGTAGGAAAAGCACACATCTGTGAGGCTTTGGTTGTTACAGCATTCGATTGAACCATCCAGCCGTTTGTATGCTGAAGAGAAATATTTTATTAGAATCTGTTATATAGAATGACATTTGTCATAAAAATTTTGCTTTCAAGACAACAGTAAGATGCACATGAATTCAGAAACAACTGGATAATTCAGAGCTCAGCTTGATGGCTACTCACTGCAGAGTTTGGTTTTACATTACAAAAGATATATATTCAATCTGGAATCAAGAAGCAGTACTCACTCTAGGTTAGCTTTCTTCATATAAACTGACCCACTCGTAAAGCTGGAGCCCCAGTCTCAGTGGGCTTTATAATAACTCCGGCTGGTCAAGTACAGACATTTAATGAGGCACTGTTAGCTGCCCTAATGTCACTGATCCAGTATCACTACTGATCCCCTGCATGGCTGTATTAGCAAACAAAGTGGGCCAAAGGATGCCCAAGAGACTCTCGTCCCTAAGGAAATCTCTATTATATCACATACCTACCTTACCTCCGGGCTTACCTTGGGGCTTTCCTTCCGGAACCAGGGCAGCCCAATTTGACCCCACAGATGTGTACACATTTGCCTATACGCCAATAATCCAGTTACCATTTTTGAATGATAACAGAAACTGTTTATTCCCACTATTCATTTATTGTTTTAAAGTTCTTTGGTAGACTGCTTCACTGGTATCTGGGGCAGAATAAGGAAGCTAAATCACCGACACAGGTGGCATTAAAATTATTTTCCATTCAACACATCAAACTAGTAAAGAATAAATTGATATATGTGAAGGACCAATTAAATTTAGAATCTTATATTCATACAGCCATATACTCAAATGGGCTTAAGAAGACATTCAAGCCAAAACCGGTTTGGTTCAGTGGATGGAGCGTCAGCCTGCGGACTGAAAGGTCCCAGGTTTGATTCCGGTCAAGGGCATGTACCTGGGTTGCGGGCACATCCCCAGTGAGGGATGTGCAGGAGGTGACTGATCGATGGTTCTCTTTCATCGATGTTTCTGACTCTCTATCTCTCTCCCTTCCTCTCTGTGAAAAAATCAATAAAATATATTTTAAAAAAAAGAAAAAAAAAGAAGACATTCAAGAAGAAAGTTACTATAGTACTGCAAAAAAGGTACTCTTTCCAGTACAAAAAAAACCTACCACAAAAACAAAAAACAAAAAAGGTTTTCTATTTCAAGAGTGTCTTCAGGAACACTGGCATGAAAATGTTAGTTGATATGCAGTATGATTTTATAAGGACACTGTATTTCAGCCAAAGGTTTTTGTTTGTTTTTAAATAGCTTTTTTAAACTACATTATTTAAGAATGACATCTTGTACTGGCTACACTGGCTCTTCCCCAGCCACTGCTGCTCTCTCTCCTTGGCCAATACTAAGTAAAGAACAAAACAGGTGAAGCAAACTAACCAATGCATCTACTTCTCCTCTGCAATGGTTGGGTACATGGGCAGTTGCTTTTTTTTTGTAATCTCTTATCTTTTTAATTTCTTTATTGGTTAAGGTATTACAAATATGTCCTCATCCCCCCATTAACCCCTCTCCCCCCACTCATGCTCTCATCCCCTTGTTGTCCATGTCCATTGGTTTGGCTTATATGCATGCATACAAGTCCTTTGGTTGATCTCTTCCCCTTACCCCTCCCCTCCCCTACTTTCCCTCTGGGGATTGATAGTCTGATTGCTGTTTCTCTGTCTCTGGATCTGTCCCTGTTCATCAGTCTATGTTGTTCTCTAGTTTTGTTTTTTTATCATAACTGAATAGATATTGAAATCTGGGGTGACAAATCATATTTAAAATATGAAAGCAAACTGCGAATATGTGACGGCACTGATAAACCTGTGCCTACAATCACTCATCAGCACAATGATAAAGTATAAGGCAAAAAGTCCTTAGAATTAAAAAAAAAAATCAACACAAGCTATAACCCTCAGTGTTCATTTTGGTCAGTTGCCAAGTCCCACCAATATTTACCTACTAATCATTTTTCTATCACCACCTGTTCCCACTTGAGTGCAGACTCCAATTCCTTCTCACCTCACCCATCTGAACAAAGTACTAATGAGTCTTATTTGCTTATCATCTAGCTCGCACGCGCAAACCTGTCCTACATATCGAATGTTTCAAATTAACCTGCCAAGGTAGAACTACAAGAATGTGACTCTTCTAACGTAACATTTCCAAACACTCTGCACTGCTCCCAAATAAAGTCTATATTTCATAGCCTAAAACTTAGCCTTTCATTTTTATCATCTTATCTCATACTATTCTCTTGCTGAACCAAATTCTTAGCAGGTTCTTGAGCATCTTCTAGTCTTATGGTGCCATGGTTCATTCCTAGCTTGGCTTCCTGAAATTAAACTCACTGTTGAGGACCAACTCAGGACTCCTGTTATGAATTGTGCCCTTAACTTCTCAGTTGAGACTGACCACCATTGTTCCCACAACTCCCAATGTTTCTGGTCATTACTTACATTTAACCTTGTACTATAATAATGTAGGCTGTTTCTTTC